AGAGAGAGAGAGAGAGAGAGAGAGAGAGAGAGAGAGAGAGAGAGAGATATCCAATTTTTAAAAATTTATATTTCCAGAATTTGAACACATATTTGGGATTTGGAGTCCATGAAATGTTTCTCCACAAAGTATGATTGGACAAAACATTAAGAGCTCTTTTACTAAAAGCACGAATCAATAAATAACTGCAGTTACTGAAACAGACAGGCATGAAATACAAGGAGAGCAACCTGTGACATGTACAACGTTTTGTCCCAGAGTTCTGGTGATTAAAAGGCCTAATGCAGGTTAAGAAAAAGGGCAGTCACAATTTTAAAAGAACTGCAACTTTTGATAGGTTGCTAGCGGGTACCCCCTTGTGAGGGACTTAAAGCATAAATTTTAAAGACTTTGGATACCCTAGCAAAGGCAATTAAGACTCGTGCTGTTAGACTTTGCAGCTCATTTCATTTGGTCTACACTATATCCCCTGCTAACCAATCCTCCATTCTGGAGGTTCATTAGGCACCATATAAATACTCCAGGCCACACTGCCTCCAATGAAATCTTATAAGGAGCCTTTGCCCATTACTAAGGAACAATTATACACCAAGTATTTGGATCTGCTGTCCTTAGTTGCCTTTACAAAGTTGAATAAGTCTCCATTGTGGCAAGTAGACCAAACCCCGATAACATTCTTATGCTACAGGGAGGCTGGGGGGGGAAGGCACTATCACACTAAGAATGCAAGTTGACCACAGTTTTAAAGTCAATTGAGTATACTATGTCATGGTCCAAGAATGTGCTTTTAATTGTAATTGACACACACAAATTACACAGTTAATCTGTGTGAATGCAAAGTTGCCAAGAAATTTAACATTTCAGTTCTTCCAGACTGGCGTCTGCCTAGATGCAATCACACAAACTAAAATATTTTTAAGTCCCAATTGCTTAACATTGCTTAATGCAATAGGTCTCTGGGGTCGGGAAGGTAAGTCAACTTAGCAAATCTCATTCTCCTCTGAGTTAAGTGATTGTCAGAAAGTGAATCACCTTTCCTTTTCCTCTCATTAGGCATACTGCAGTGCAAAAAAAAATATTCCTATAAAAATAACTCTTTTTTTTTGAGTCATTAGTGTAAAAGTGAAGAAAACAGGACTGCCTAGAATTAGGGATGTTGAAATGTAAGGAGAGAGAAATCCACTGGATACCTTATGTGTGTTAGTACAGTACTTTTGTTTGCTCAAACAATTCTGTTTTACGACAAAGGCACTGAAGGATTTTGACACCACCTCTTGGGAGTGCGCTCCAGAGTTCTAAACAGCAGACAGTGTAGGCCAGAAGATGTTTATGTTAGACCAGCCAAACTATAAAACTCCGCAACACGTCTCCCAAACCAGCATTTCCAGTGTTTACAGATCACTTTGCTATCTGCAAGACCTAGTTACTATTTAAAATTTAAAAGTTTTAAAACTTAATCTTTCTCCTCGCATGTTATCAACTCACAGCTGAAATCCCACCCAGTAGGAAGCAAACACCATCACCCCGGACTTTGGGAATATAAGCTGGAGGGACCTCCACAGACTCTAAGCTGTGACCTGCTAAAGTGATCAACATTTTGATTTTTCACAGCTTTGAAAGCCTCTAACTGGCTTTTCTACTTTGGACCACTCCAAAGTCTGCAGCGAAATCATCAGTCATCTGATGCCGAGTTGGGTGAGGGGTGGTGGGCTGACGTGGGGGTGTGTGCTGAAGTGTTTCTAGTTTGTTCAAACTGAGATTCACTGCATCGTTTCCTTCAACGTGAGGAAAGTGGAAGCTGGCTAGGCTTATACCACAGTTTCATTGCCTTTCCCTGGCTTCACCCAACCATTCCCCCTCTTCTCTCTCTTTACCTTCCCAGAATTCACCAATCGGTTAGAACATTTTTGCCACGTGTGAAGAGTTTTGGCAGACCAAATCCACATGCCTGAAGTGATGCCCACGAGCAAAGACATAAAAATTTTCAACATTTCAACTGCCATGTTTGAATCATCTGCAGAATACCGAAAGAGTGCCCAGTTTGAGATTTCATAGAAATAACAGGCAATCACACAGGTTGCAGGAACTGTGTACAGTACTGAGAAGACCCCGATCTTGACCATTAGCCTTTCCAACTTGTCTGTCTTTGTCCCATCTTTCTGAAGATTTGACCGAATTTTGAATAAGGCCACCAAGCCTGCTGCAATGAACAGAGTTCCAATCACCAAATACGTAAAGAGAGGAGCCACCACAAAGCCAGTGAGGGCATCTAGGTTTTGGTTCCCAACATAGCACAGGCCAGTCAGTTCATCGGCATCCACTAGTCTCATAATCAAGATGACAATGGTTTTCACTGCGGGAATAGCCCAGGCTGCAATGTGGAAATAAGAACTGTGCATTTCAATGGCTTCGTGACCCCACTTGAGTCCTGCTGCCAAAAACCACGTGAGTGTCAAAATAACCCACCAAATGGAGCTGGCCATTCCAAAAAAGTACATCAGCAAGAAAATTATTGCACATCCTGTGTTCTTAAGTCCTTCTTGGATGAGAACGGGTTCTGCCGCCTCTTCAAAATCACAGGATATCCTTTCCCGGCCTACAGTCAGCCGAACAATATAAGCAATGCTATAAATATTATAGCACATACTGAGAAATATGATGGGGCGCTCAGGGTAAGAAAACCTGGATGAATCGATCAGGAAGGTCAGCACAGTGAAGGTGGTGGAGATGAAGCAGAGGCTGGCCCACACAGCCATCCAAATATCTGTGAACTCCTTAGCTGAGCGGCTATACAAGCCAGCATCGTAGCCACACTTGAGAACACAGTTCAGGCTCCTTTTCACCCAGATGTACTGATCAGAATTGGTTCCCACCGAGTGGCACTCTTCCCCCGGCTGGATGGGAGTTTTGTGGGGCAAGGGTACCTCTTCGTCACCTGGTCCTTCCATGCACATGTGGTTGTGGTCATTCTGGGGTGGGAACTTGCTGCAGTTCAGGCTGTCCGGCCAGGCAAACCCAAATTCTTTCAGGACTGGTTCACATCGTCTCTTGACTGAAAGACACATGCCACCGCAAGGGCCGATGGGGATGTTGATCTTCTCTGTGCACATTGGCACATAAACCGAACAAAGGAAGAACTGGAAAAGTAATGACAGGAACAAAGAAAACAATGAGTGAGATTTGACCAAAAGCACTGAGCTGAGTGAATGCTTCCAGGCAGTGTACATATCTACTTTTAAGCCAGCCTACTGGGAATACGTCTGTTTACTCTAACCTCAGACTCTGCTGCCTAATAATCCATCACTTTTACACAGCTTCCTTGATCGGGCTCTAGTGCTCCCTTTCACAGGAGCATAAATGAGGAAATAAAATGTGTCTGAAGAATTACATAATCTTTTTTCACATAATCCTTACAAAAATAAACTTTTAAAAAGTGACTTCCAATATCTCTCTCCTTCTAGCTAATATTTGAGAGAACTAGAGTCTAATAAATTGACTTTGTCACTTAGGTCATGGGTGCCTGACTTTTATCCTTATTTCTCTGTCCCTTAAAATGTAGATCCTGTGACCATTCTATTTTCCCCTAATTTACATTTTAACTTTAAAAAGTCAATCCCGAATTTAAACAGAAAATGTACTCATTTGAGACTCTTGGACCCAAGGAGAAAATATGAGTTGGGGGTTCTTTGGTCTCCAGGGATTTGTTTGGCTAGCAACTCCTCAATGATTAATAATGAAGCACAATAGGAAGATGTAAATGTTAAGTCCCTGAAATTGCAATAGCAGCAGGGGAGAGTCCAGTTGCTGTCCTCAATTCCTCCAGCATTGATAAACAGTCTCCTTGGCTCCTTACAGATGTTGTCTATGAAGTCTAGAGTTACAAGTAACTATTTTCCAGCATGTAAAGGGATCCAGTCTTGTCTTTCAAAACAGCTTGGCTGCCTCCCCAGGATACATGTAATTAAAAATATATATCCCTGCAAAAGCTGTTTCTCCAACAAAATTGCCACTGATGTCAACTATGTGCTGTTTCCAAAATGTGAGTGAGAGGATCATTTCTCAAACTTTCATAACCTAGTTTGGAAGTCCTGAAACTTCCACAGGGATATTTCACCAGCAACAGGTCTAATCCCAACCATCTTCCCCAAACCACAATTCAGCTTTTACAATGACCTATGTGAAAACCTGAGCCTGTAAATAAACTGTATGTCTGTTTCTTATCTCGCTAGAGCCAGAAATATCGATTTCTTGAGGTTTCAACCTGGACAGCTCTAACCTCCATTTTTTTTTTTATTAAAGCCACTCAGTCTCACCAACCAAAACATGACTAATGTTAAGTTTTTAAAACGTCATTCCAATCCATTTCCCATTGAGTTGGCTGTATAAGAGAAATTATAACTATGCTACATATGCAAGTTACTTTTCACTTTTTATTGAAAGAATTTCTGTATCATTACACATTACCAAAGTTATAACATCTTAATGACCAGCAAGAAAAGGAAAAGGGGGAGGGGAGAAGGTCTTCAAATATGCAAACTACTTTCCTGGAGCTTTTTCAGTACCTCCAAACACTAAACCTGCCTCCAACGCTAAAGACAAGAAAGAACTCAGGCCAACCTAACTAACCACTCTTTCCTGTATGACCTCTACGGCGGTGGGACATTCTGCAGAAAACAGTCAGTGATGTTTTATTTGGTAACCTACACTCAAAAATACAGCCAGAAAGGAGGTCGATGAGCGACCTGGAAGGGCGAAGTTCTGTCTCCTTAGCACTCCTTCCAAGTTTTAGGTGCAATCGGCTGCCCTGCCAGGACTCGCCCACCAAGCAGCGACTGCCTGCCGGAATCCTTGGCAAAGATAACCCTCAACTCCACTGGGGTTAGGGGCTTGGCCAGACATGGTCAGGGGAGAAAAACGGAAGGGCGGGGTGTAAGAATAGGTTCTTTCGCGGGCCAGATGACTTACACAACGTTTTGGCTTCCAGTCTCCAAGAGGGACAGAAAAGTGGGGGGTGGGGTGCGGGTTGGAAATCACTCTTTCAGGAGTTGTACCTTCAAGTTAGGAAGGGAGTAGGGGTCTCTATCTGTCAGGGATCCCAAGGAAGGAGTTTGGGAGTCCCTGTCTACCGAGTCCTCCGGGGATGGGGGTAGGGGCGCCCACCTGCAGCTGGCTGGAGCAGCCGTACTGGATGAGCGGCGTGAAAGTTGTCAGCTGCAGCTCGGCGTCTGTCTGCAGCTCGTGTCCCACTAAGTTGGGCATCTTGGTAACGTTGTAGCCGAGGTTCTGGCACATGGCGATGCGGATAGGGTCACAGCGCCGCTCCTCCTCGTCCCCGAACCCCAGGGTCGGCCGCAGGAGCAGAAGCAACTGCAGCAGCAGCCCCAGCCTGAGCCCGACGCCTCCAGGCGCCCCCCGGACGCTCGGCCCTGTGCCCGGCCAGGCCATGGCCAGAGCCGCGGGCAGCAGCGTCGGAGGCTGCTCTAGCAGACACCCCCAGTTTGCACAGGGGCGCTGGTGGCCGCGCTGCTCCCAGCTCCGGATAGGGAATGCCGTAAGGCGCCAAGGGCGACGAGGGGGCAGCGGCCGCTTCTCCAGCAGCTGTACGAGACTGTGCGGGATATCAGACGTCCGGTGCCGGGGCCGAGGGATGGACTGCTAGGGTCATGGCTGCAGGCGGCGATCCCAGAACCCGGCGCCGGCCGAGTCCGGCTCCACGGCGAAGCCCGCCTGCACTCTACGCCGCGCTGTTCTCACCGCCCCATCCCTCTGCGGCGCTGGAGGTTCGCAGGGCGGGGGCGGGGCGGGACGGACAACTCGACTGTCCAATGAAAGCCCCCCCTAGGGCAGAGAGGGCGGGAAGGGGCGGGGCCTCTCTCCCGCTGTAAGGGTCAGGCCCCCGCCCGCGGCTTGATCCTCTCTCCCTTGCTCGCTCCAGAGCCGCCCCGCCCCGCTTGGCTTCCCGGCGCTAGGCTTGCAACCATCCGGATCCAGTGCACACTGTGGCCAGGCGTCGATGGAGCCCCGTGGCTCCTACCCAGCCAACCTGCTCTCCTTTTCCAGGTGAGACGTGCTCTCACATCTGTGCCCCTTTCACGTCCTTCCCCTTACAGCTGTCACCTCCGGCCCCGTGGCCACCTCGGTATCAAGCAAAATAGTACACACAAAGAACACGGTATTTGGGGTTTACACAGATTGTGGCTTTAAATCCTCGCTGTGTGACCTTGAGCAAATTGCTCAACCTCTCCGGGTCAGGTTCCTCATCCGTAAAGTGACTTGGGAGGATTAGCGATAAAGCCTAAAAGGCTTAGAGTTGGTGCCTGGTACTGAGCGAGTTCGCAGAAATTTTCACCCCTAGCCAGTGGGGCTGGCGCCCGCCCCCCTCCCGGCCCCGCCCCGCCCCGCGCTCGGCGAGACCTGCGCCCGGGAGCTGCCGGTCTCTGCCCCGGTGGGGGAGGCGCCCCAGAGCAAAGAGCAGGCGATGGGCTCGCACTCCGATTTCCTCACCGTACGAAATGAAATTCCACAGGGGGATTCGAAAGGAAATGAGGCCGGGACGCTCCGTGCTTCTCGGCCCGCCGCCCTTCCTGTCTCGGGGACACGGTTTCTAAATAAGGTTGGGAGGGTGAGAGCGCGGGAGGGAAGAGGCTTGACCTGTGCACCCGAAGCGAGGAAGGCGCACAGGCCACAGGGATGCCCTTTCCCAGACCCCGGACACCTTTCCCCTGCATCCTGCACTCTTTTCGTCCCCATTCTTACTCTGTGTAGCGCTCTGGGGTTCAGCAGATGTTTCCACCCGTGTTCCAATCCAGCTTCTCTCCTTTTCACCCACAAAGGAAGGACTTTATGTTGGGTCCTCCCTCTCCCTGCTTCCCATTTGGCCAGTGGAACTCTCAGCAGGTGATTTCCTAAACCATGTACTTGTTGCTTGATTGGTCAAACTAATGGGAGCCTCCAACTGGCCACGCGGTAGGCCAGTTTCTGAGTGAAGTCCATGTTCTCCTCCTGTCACATAGCGGTTCTCAGTACACGAGGTAATGCCCGCAGCGCAGATCATCTAGCATAGTGACCGATGAATAATGCTCGATAACGCGGCTGTCACTTTTGTGTTTATATCTGGGACAGATCGTGAAATGTAGATTTTAAGACTACCCCTTGCTTGTCAGTCTCGTGCTAAATTTTGAGGATACTGGTAATCAGTAAAGGGATTCCTCCTCTCTCCTTCAGATCTGTTTGTCTAAGCCGCGCCTGTGAGTTTCTGATGTTCTTTGTGCTTTCCCATTTCAGCTGATCCTCTGGCACACAGCGAAGGTAAAGTACAAATGGGAAGGATACATGCACTCAAATTTTGTAGCTTTAGTTTTCTTATGTTGGCTGGCCCTGGTTGAAGGTAAGTATGGAATCAGCTGTTTTGAGTATTTGCCTCTGTGCCTGGAACTGTTGGGCATATAAAAGCTGCATCATCTCAAGTCATTGTCCTAATCTGGTAAAGAATGTTTTGGTCCTTTAAGTAGACTGGGGAACTGAGTCTAAATCAAAGCAATAGTTAGCAATGATAGGACCCACCAAATTGGAGCCCAACCTTTTAAAGCTGGAGGGCAGGATTACTTTCCAGGAGTTCAGGACCAGGTTGAGTCCTCTGTATACAAGTGCCACTGGCTTACAGGGATGCATACATAATCAGATGGAGAGGGCAGTGACCTATTCATTATTTGAGAGGAACAAATTAGATGAATAAATTAAATTGATGGATACAGGATCCCCATTCTCTAGGATCACATAGGAGACAAACAAAGAAACACACTGGGCATGGTAAGCCCACAGAGAACCATGAGCAAATTGGAGGTGGAGGTAGCTGAGTTTGGAGAGCTACTCAAAGAGATGATCAGCAAGACTGTGAGCTACTTACCAAAGTGGGCTTGGAGTATAGCTGGCACTTCGCCTAGAGCAGGGTGTGTGCATGGTTTATGAAACTGAATTTCCTGAAGTCAAGGAGGAGGATGGATTTGTTACCCACAGATCACCTGGCTAATAGGCAGGACGTCGTTGGTGCGAAGGGGCACTATTATCAAATCAGTAACAGATTTCATAAGAAACCCTATTCTGCACCAGTGTTCCATGACTTATACTCAGAATTGTATTTAATTATTAAAAGCCATCTAAGAAAGCATTTTTAAGAGAAGTCAAACAGTCTAACCAAGGTGCCCCAGTATGTAGTAGAGAAGGACTCAGTTGCCCATTTGCTGTAGTCTAAAGTCCTTGTCCATGTTCCTGTTCTCAGAGAGGAAAGTGCTCAATTCTCAGCCTAGTCTACCATTAAGGATGACCTTTTCTGGGGGGGTCCTGACCTCTTCTCCGAGGCCTGGAATCTCTACTTAAGCATGTTTGAAGCAACTTGTCTCCTCTGAGAACACATGAAGAAGCTCCTTTTCCATCAGAAGCTTTTCCTGTCAACAGCTTTTCTTTCTAGCCAGGGAACTCATCACAGGTATTTTCCAAAAAAGAAAGCCAGGGGAATCACATTTCAGTCTGAATGTGGAGAGAAAACAAAGACCAGGACTTCAGGCTAAGTCTGAGTGGCCCCTTGGCCTCCTTCTCCTGGAGTTGTTCACACGGTCCATAACTGCCCCTGGTATCAAATACAGTGTGCTTGCCTTTGTTACAGAAAATACTTCTCTGAGGGGTTTGAGCAGAGGGCTATCGCCCAGTGACAGGCACAGTGTGTCTGAGAGGAAAAGATAGAGATGCATGAAAAGAACCTTCACTTACCCTAAAGTACAGGTCACCAGCCCCTAGTGGCTTTGTCCCAAGTGCAGGGCAATTTCCTTGGTCCAGCCTTCTAGTTTTTAGGATGCAAACCCTTTAGAGCTGCAACAAACATGACTTCTGTGGGTGGCTGGGCAGCTGGAGGGCTCAGTATTTGCAATCAAATGAAAGGCTGGGATCCAGTGAATTCCTGTGATGTGTTAAGTTTTCAACCTGCACTGATCTATTTGTGTAATGGTGCCTGAGTTAAAAGCTCCATTTGGAGGCCAGCAGTTAGGTTAAAAAAAAAAAATCTACCACCTAAGGGGTTGGGTGCAGTAAACATGCTTTCCCTCCTAAGGAAAACCTCTTATTTGTAGTTCTTTGCTAACCCAATTAAATGTTGAAGTGGTCACCCCAGAGCCTGCTTTTTATTTCCAGAGAAACAATCCAACTAATCCATATTCAGTAGCTTCTAAGAAAAGTCTTATTCCAACCACTCATGAAGAAACCAGCTTCTTTGAATCTAGACAGGACATTTAGAAATCACAAAGAGCTGTCTTGATAGAAAATGCAAGAGAGTGATTCATTATTACCCTGGTTGGTTTGGGAGGGGAAATTCACTGGGATTAATACGTGTACCTATAGGGAATTTATTATGGAGCCACCAAGCTCCCAGTTTACATTGGGAGACACCAAGCCACATCCCATCAGTTTTCATGTAGCCTGGGCACTATGCTTACACCCAAACTAATAATAAAACAAAAACATGGATGCTGGGTCAGGTGGAAGAGAACATTAATCTCGCTCCAAGCTGAGCAATTGTAAGTCCTAAAAGGCTAAGTAACTGCTATTAAAAGGCAGAGTCAAAGTCCCTTTTTGGTCCATTGTGTTACTAGCCTGCATAGAATTATCACCACAGGGCTCTTGATGTCAAGTAATCAATTCCTATTCCATCCACCATACTTTTAGCAAGAGTGAGATGGAACATTGGAAATTCTTATTAGTGGTGATGATATTGTAAACATACGGGCAGCCAATGATGTCTGCGGGAGGCTAAAATGAATGCAAATGTACCGTGTGCCCCCACAGGCTAATCTCAACGCAGTGTTCACTTTCACATCATTAGCTTACATATTACTCAGACAAGGTATGTAGCCATACACACGATGTTCCCTATCTTAAAGGCATTTACAGTTCACAGTCACATGAGATCAAAAGAGAAACACATTTCTTTATGGTTGGTGTTTTTCCTTGCCCTCCCTTAACTCCATCCATTTCTATTGCCATACACAAAATTCTGTCTGTGTTCTAAGCCTATATACCTTGTTTACACTGTCTCTGTCAGAGGCAGCGAGTGCCATGTCCTTCGCTGATCCATAGATGTCACTTAAGATTGTGGGTAGATATAGAAAACTGCCAAAATGTAGTTATGTCCTGCCCTTCTTGTAACTCAGGCACGATACAGTGTCCAGTTTTCTTCTGAAATTGGTTGTTTGACAATCATCTATCTTTCTTTCTACATTTTACTGTGCCTATTCTTAAACGCTCTGAGGTGAAACAGTTGTCTGGGCTGAAATGGTGGCTTAAATTAGAGGCAGAATGAGTTTATTTGCTTCACAAATAATCAAACTATAATATTTTCTTATCACCATGTATTAGCCATTTGAACATTATCAGCTGAAGTCGTTGAGAATTATGTGTAACACAGGACAGAGCAAGACTCTCAAGCCGAGATGAAGTAAGTTGGGGGATGACTTCTTGGTAAGTTTATAGAAAAATTAGAAGGAGAGCTTAGTTTTGAGGGATGGGTAAGTTTCCAAGAGACCAAGGGAAGGATGGCAGTGAAACAGTAGTCTCAGAAGCAGCAGTCCTCCTCGCTGGATTTGGTGAAAATGAATAGGAATAAAAATAACAGGCAAAGGGTGACCTAGCCACTACTGTACACAGGCACTAGTATAAAGATAGAGGGACTTCATAGCCTCTGTCAAGGGAAAAGGAGGGACTGCTGTGTCCTGTGATGTGGAAACATCTTTGCCATTTTACCATTACCTTCATCTGGAAGCTAAGTATGACCAAAGACATGTGTTCAAATTCTGAATTGATACAGAGTGGAGTTATAGCGCTTGGTACTGTTTCAGTTTAGCTTACTAGAAGGTTCTTTGGCATATTGCAGGAGTGCATGTGAATACATGCATGCATGTATGTGCATGTGTGTGATTGTGTGAGTGAGTGAGTGTGTGTGTGTGTGTTATCTATGCACGAACACTTGTGCATACATATTTGTGTGCTGGTATACTCACCCATGTGTGTGTGTGTGTGTGTGTAGGCCAGAGGTATGTCTTCCATTTCTCTTAACTTTTCTCCTTCTCCTTCTCCTTCTCCTTCTCCTTCTCCTTCTCCTTCTCCTTCTCCTTCTCCTCTCCTTCTCCTTCTCCTCCTTCTCCTTCTTCTTCTTCCTCTTCCTTCTCCTCTTCCTCTTCTTTTCTTCTTCTCCCTCTCCCTCTTCCTTTTTCTTTTCCTCCTTCTCTCTCTCCTTCTCCTCCATCCTCTTCCATCTCCTCTTTCTTTATCTTCTCCTTTTCCTACTCTCCCCTCCTTCTTCTTCCTCTTCCTCCTTCTTTGAGACATTGCTTCTCAGTGAGCCTGGATTTCAGTGTTTAAGCTAGGTTAGCTAGCCAGAAAGCCCTGGAACTCTTCCTCTAACAGTCCTCGCCTCTATCCCTTGCCAGTCTTTCACTTGTAGACTTGCCACCCCAGGCTCTCATATGGGTCCTAGGATCTGAACTTAGGTCCTCATGATCGCACAGCAAACACATTAATCAGCTATGTTCTCTATCCTACCCATAAGGCTTGACCACTTTTTAAAAGAATTTCCTTCCCTATATCATTCCAGATTAATGGTGACCCTAAGGAAAATTAGCACGACATTGGAAGTAAAGGAGAAGCAGTTGTTTGATGCTCTGAAAGTCAGGTGTGAGTACAAGACAGCCTGAACACTCAGACACTGTCACCTACCTGTTGCCACAGTGGTTAGCATGAAACAGCAGCTGGATCTGAAGTTCCTCCAAATGCTAACAAGTGAGCCCTTCTAGTCACTGTTGACAAAGCTTGGGGGTGGTTAAACAGTGTATCACTGTGAGTTCCATTTTGCCCTGGATTTCACACATGCCACAGCCAGCTTCCAGCCTTTCTCCCTGATTGCAGCCCAACCTGCTCTTAGGTGATTTCAGGAACAACAGGCAACATTGGAGGATTTATAATAAACTCTTTATTCTACCTCACTCATAATTCCCCTGACTAGTAATCCCATAAAAAGATTCATCGACTGTTAATACATGGAAACTGCTCTTCAACTTATAGGGAAGCTGCAGCAAACAAGTGTGACTTGCCCACGTGGCATACAGATGATGAGATATTGGGCCTTAGATCTTTGAACAAGTATGTATCAGATTCTTCTTTGATGTATGTATCTGCCTGTAATCAGCTTGTTGTACTAGATCTGCAGCAAGCATTTAATTGACCCAGGCACTTGGTGTTTTTACATATGTTATCTCGTTTAATCCACCCTATCCCCAGAACAGATATTAAATCAGAATTACTTCTCTCCACCAGTCTGAACTGCCCAGTCTGCTTCCCTAACTCTGTCTTTGTACTGCTCACCAGTGATCTGGTCTCTGTACAAGAGTGAGCTTTTAAAACCAATTCCACAGGTTATATTCCTTGTAGATTGAAAAGTTTTTGGGTTTTTCTCATTGCAACTGGAACAAAATTTACCAGGCATGGAAAGAGAGCTCCCTTTTCAGCGACACTTGTATTTTATTTTATTTTATTTTATTATTTTATTTTTTTATTTTATTTTATTTTATTTTATTTTATTTTATTTTATTTTATTTTATTTTATTTACCATGGTATACCACTGTGTCCTTCCCTCATGTCCTAAAACATTCTAAGCTAGTACCTGGCTGTCTTCTCTGCCTAGAATGTTTCCCATAGTCCTTCTCTTAACAGACATCATTGTCTCTGAGACCTTCTCTGGACCCTTTGACCATTTATTTACTCCTTAACTCTGTTTTGCTTCCTTCAAAATTGTTCCTCCCCTCTCTCAAAAAAACTTGCCTGAGGTGCCACAGTAAATGGCAGAAAAAATGTTCTGAGTGAGGCCCGTTTGGCTCTGTGGGCAGTGCTTTATCTGTTATACCCTCCTTCTGCCTTTCTTAGCTTTATTTTTCCTACAGGTCTTCTATGCACTAAATAAATATACCATAGGACGTTAGAACTGAATGGAACATTTGATAATTAGCTATTTTCATGTGAAGTCATTACAGTAAGGTAATGAATGACTTAGCAACTACTGATTGAGGTTTCACAGTGTGTATTGCTAAGGTAGGTAGAACAGGGTAGACATTGTAAGTCGCTCACTTACATCCTAAGGATTTCCAGATATCTTTAAAAAAAAAAAAAAGAAGAAGAAAGAAAAAAAGAAAAAAAAACCTGGTTTTGCTACAGTAGCCCTTGAGTCCTCAGTTTCAAGATGTGAATGAAGCTGGATGCTGTGGCAAATGGCTGTAAGTGAAATACAGAGGAGGCTGAGGTGGGAGGAGGCTGAGGTAGGGAGACCCTGCTGCAGAGCAAATGAAAGGGACTGAACTGTAAATGTCTTTTGTTTCCCTGTTTATCTACTTTGCTTTTGAGAACCCAAACCCATGATGTCAATTCTATAAATTTTAAAACCAGGCAGAGGAATGCCTTTTAAGAAAATGTTCTTCAGGCATATGTCAAGAAAAGACAGGAGCCGATAGCATCTGATAGCCAGAGACCTGCAAGGACATTTCCAGATCCGCTGCTGCAGAACCCTGTTTAGCAGATAAAGAAGCTGGGACCCTGTAGAAATGATTCATGGAGGAACAGGGCTAGAGCCACTTGTGAGTCATGTGCTACATCAGTCTGTCTTTCCTTTACCTCCTTTGTTTTGTAGACACAGCAAAGGCCCAACAGGCCGACTTGAGGCTACAGACAGTACACAGAAAGCTAGTATGTGACCCCAACTGTTCACCCACTCAGTATGAACCGCTACCTGCCTGTAACGACTAGTCACTCCACATCTGCCATCCGCACTCTTCCTTCTTATCAGAAGGTTGTTTCTCAGAAAAGTGCTGTGTTTGATTCTTGCTTCTGTGCTTCTATTTACAGCTTCCTGTTGGGGCAGGCTAATGAAGTCTAAAACTTACAGCATCCATACTACATCAGGATTAGAGAAGTCGGGGGCTCAGAGGATTTCAGAATTGTTGTTACCGCCGAGGCTACACACTCTGTTATCACCTAATTTGGCAGATAAATGATTCAGAGAGAAAGAGGAATATCAGTTAATTGTCCACATTGGTACTGCTAGGATGACACAGCGCAAGGCCAGATCCCGGGGCACCTGACTTCATGGTTCAGTACTTTTTTATGCTGAGACCACAGCATAATACAACAATATCATAACACTGACCCAGCCAGAGCATCTTCTACCATGGAAGTTCGGAAATTCTATTTCTTCTTCAAAATTAAAGGCCTGCCACAGTGTCTGTCCTCAAGAACAAAAGCAAACATAAAATGTCTTTATCATCCTAATAATTTTATGAGAATCAAGAGGTAAAAATATGAAATTTCTTGCTTTTGGGTTTAGAAAATGATGTTAGCTTTCCTTAGCTAACTTTATGTTACAAGTGAAAATGTATATGTTAATGATGTACAACACAATATTTGATATATTTATACTTAGTGAAATGATAATCAAAATGAAGTTAATTAATAGATCCATAACACCACACAATTATCTTTATGTATATGTATCAAAAATACTTAAGCTAACTTACCTCAGCAGAGGTCTACTAATTAGTCACCATGTCATACAGATCTGTATAGCTTATTCATCTTGCATAAGATCTATGTATTTGCATAATATGTTACCCTTTGACTATCAATTCTCCATTTACGTAAACCATACCTTAACGATTTTCTCTTTCCGTGAGATTGAAGCTTTTAGGTTGCATGTGTAAGTGACAACATACAGTACTTGCCATTTTGTGCCCAACTTACTTCACTTAGCGCAATGTCTTCCAAGTTCCTATTTGGAGTGTGACAGGATTTCCTTGTGTTTTTATAAATCAGACTAATATTCCATTCCATGTGTGTGTGATGTTTACTTCATACATTCATCCACTGATGGATGCTTACTTTAATTCAATACCTCGACTATTATAAATAGTGCTTCAGTCAATGTAGCAGTATTGATATCTCTTTGACAAACTGATTTTATTTTCATTAGAGATGTGTGTGTGTCTACCCAATGAGTTTAACTAAAGCTGCTAACATGAGCATAGTGGGGAGTTGTTTACTGAAATATAACAATTTATCAGTAGCTACACCACAGGGACAATAACAACATCTCCCATGGTATTTATTTATTAACTATTGACTACTTATGGACCTGGTGAGGGGAGCAACTCATGAACCCCTCTCTTTGTATGATAAGATATTGAGCCTGATATGGATATCTCCTCAGAGGCCTTCAAGAGTCAGACATATTCAGAGGCAGATGCTCACAACTAGCCATTGAACTGATCATGGGGTTCTCAATAGAGGAGTTAGAGTGAAGACTGAAGGAGAGCTGAAAGGATTTGCGGCACCATGAGGAGAGCAACAATACCAACCAACCACAGCTCCCAGGGTCTAAACCACCAGCCTGGGAGCACTTAGGGGGGGATCCAGGGCTTCAGCTGAATATGTAAAAGTGGAGGGCCCTGCTGGGCATAGGTGGAAGAAGAGAACCTTGACCTCATGAAGGCTGGATGCCCCAGGGGGTGGGAATTTTGAGGGTGGGGAGGTGGGAGTGGGGGGGGTGTAGATAGAGGTTACATCCACAGAG